ACATGCTAGCTCTTCGATATAAGATTTATTACCAATATTCCCGAATTACTAATATTATCGTCATACGATAGGAAAAATTCCTCTCTTGCTCATAACCCTAAAAAAAAAGATAATATATATATTATAATGCGGTCGAATGTTTTATTTCTTAATTTCAATTTAAAGATATACTATTACCCTTTGATATACTGGAAGAATTTTTTACTAACATTCTTGAATTATTAACAATGCTACGACGTCATGTAGGAAGATTTTAGGAAAAATTTCTCTTTCGCGTTTGCCACGACTCTTAAAAAAAAAAAAAAAGGAACCTAACCTAAACTCTTAAAAAAGAGATAAATAGTCCAAGTAAGAATAATAATAATAAAAAGAAAAAAAAAAGAAAAATGAGTAGAAAGTTCATCGACATTCGTCCGCGACGTTGTCCGTGGCAAACAGGTGTAATGAATAAAGAGGAGCAAAAGGCGGTGCAGAACGAGAACCCCCCGAAAGAGTCGAACGATTCAGCGGTAACAGTAACTACACCTAGCGGCGTCGGGACGACGGTGTTGGCGGTGAACGCGAGCAACAGCACGGCGGCGGCGACGACTTGTACGATGCCTGGTGGAGGCGCTCGCAGCGACGTGGACGAAGAGGACGAGGAGGAGGAGGAGGCTGCAGCGGCCGAGGAAGAAGAGGAGGAGGAGGAGGACGTGGAGGAAGAGGAAGACGTAGAAGTGGAGGGTGGAGCGGCGCAGGAGGCGGTCGGTGGCGGTTTTCTAGCGAGCGAGGGTGGGGGTGGAGGCGGCATGGCCGGCTTCTGGAGGCAGAGCAGACCCTCCAGTCCCCGCATGCCGCCTCCGGAGCAGCCGGAGCACAGGCCTAAGAGCCGACACGAGCCGGCGCCCGCGAGATACAACAACCTCGGCTACTGGAGGGCCAGGAGAGTCACGTTTTACAAAAATGGCGACCCGTATTTCCCCGGTATCGAGTTCAGGTGAGTTGGAAGGTTGGAAAAATGAAACGCCTATCGCTTTATCGCTCGACGCGATCGCACGTCGTCCACTTCTAGCTTGATCCTTGTGTCGTGTGCACGAAGCAACCAACCGCCTTGAAGTACCCCAGCGCTTACGCTAGTACCTTTCTTGGATGCAGGTGGCGTGTCCACTCTTCGTGGCCTTGATTCTGCTGCTATGAATGAGATTCTCCCTGCGAGACACTAGAAAGATACTAGCGCGCATTAACTGCAAGTGTTTCGTTCCCCCCAATGTGTTGCAGAGTTAAGTTGACATTTTGCCGCGTGAACGTTTTTTTTTTTTCTTTTTTTTTCTGTCGGTTTGCGAGTGTTAAACGGAAGTCGTTGAACGACTTGTGTCGCAGTTGTTATCGTGGCGATGAACTTGCAGGTTCAAGCCAGGAAGGGACATCGGTTCCCTGGAGGCGCTTCTCGATAGACTCTCCCTGCGGATGGACCTGCCCAGAGGAGCACGACACATCTTCTCCATGGATGGCGACCGGAAGATCACCCTGGACGAGCTTGAGGACGGCGCCTCGTACGTCGTTTCCAGCTACAAAACGTTCAAGGTGAGCGAAAAAGAACTTTCTATTTATAGGTGATTCTATTTGTCGATAACGTCGCCGGATAAAAATCTCTCAGAGGCCAGGAAACGGGAAGGCGGGAATCGTTAGGAGGAGGGAAAACGCTGCCAGAGAGGAAGCGGCATTACTTTCCAATCAGGTTTATTTACGCGTGTTCGAGAAAAGAAAAAAGAGAGGGAAAGGGAAAGGGAGAGAGAGAGAGTCTTAATCGGCTACCGGCGGAAAAGTGGGTCGTTCGATCTGATACATTGCACGAAGAAGAAATAAGGTCCTTAAGACACAGGATCGCGTGTATGTGTAGATCAAATCTCTGGTCAGGTAACGCCACTAGCCCCTCTCCCCCACCTTCGAACGAGAGAGAACCAATCTCATTACGACAGCGATAATTCAGCCAGCGTGCATGGACTTGTGCACGGACGAGAAAAGTAAATATCCTTCTCCACACTGGTGTGGTCGTCACCCGGGACGGTGTGTCGTTCGTGTAATTAAAGCGAGCCTCTAGGGCCGATGTAACCTACACACAACACGCGCTTAATATTCATGAGGCACGGCTCGTGCGCAAGAAGGTGATGGAACGGGACGTTGAAACGCCAACGACTTCCACAAATGCGTTCAAAATACTTTGAACATTGTCGTCGGACACGCGTGTGCATACAGACGCGTTTGAGGTATGCACGCGTGAACGTGCAATAGAAAGTGCACAAGAGCCCCAGTCAGGTCACGACTGGTGGTAATTTAGAAGAAAACTGCGTATGTACATTGTTGGCGGCGATATTTGTGTGTATCTGGCCCAGATCAGTCTTTAAGAAGGCCGCACGCAATGGCAATTTGCCTGGTTTGTCCGAAGCGATCATTGCTCTCTGTCAATCTTCTTCGACGAACGTCCAATCTTTGAAGGATGAGTTGATTCTAAAACGCTCGCGTTGATCGAACAAAAGGACTCGAAAGTTGAGGGACTCACCTAGGAAGAAAAAAAAAAAAAATGAAAAAAAATGGTCCAATTAACGGCGAAACCTTTCAGCTAGATCCGTTCGAGCCGGAGTGTTCATTATTTTTATGAAGGTGCCGATAGGAAGGATTGGATATCGTTTACCGTTGCGTCATGCCACAGTGAAGGGTGGCCCACGCCCCAACCTGATTTCTAGGTTTTTAAGGTGTGACCAAGCCGCTCGTTATATATCCTATCGTCAGGCAGTTTCTGCCTTCTTACCTCCTCTTAGCTCGCGTACGATCCGTTTTATTTCGATCGGCGATAGAGTCAATCTCGTGCCGGGTCAACTATTAATCTGGCAAAGTGGCCAGAAGCTTGTGTGTTACGATACTATCGTTCTTGTGGCCGCCTTTGCATGCCGATTGAAGTGCAGAATCGGTGTTCGTACACACACCCATGACCCATATCCATAGGTTTTTCGGATTGAGGTTCATCCTTGACCCATATTGCCACCGAGTCAAAATCGATACTCCAAACGATTCGTTATTGCCTTTTTCTGCTGCTCGCGGTAAATCGTCTGAAAAAAAAAGGAAATAAATGAAGAGAAGAAATAAATAATAAGAAATGAAAAGGAAATAATTTAAATTCAACTCGTTGATCGTCCATGATCTTCGGAGGAGAGATCGGGTAGATCCTGTTGGATGAATTTTTGAAACTTCCGGTCGATGCACTGAAACGAAAATTGTATTCGGTAATTCGTTCATTGTTTACCAAAGCCACGTGGTATGGGAGATGGACGTCTCGCGTAGGTGAATCTAGGCTTTCGTGGTAGGGATGGGATCGTGTTGGCGACACGGGGGGAGGGAAATTGGGGAGAGGGAGGGGGGCGAGCGTTACCACAGGGTTGGTTGGAAAGCAGGGGTGAAAAGGGCTGGCCAATTGGGTTCTGCGGTTGCGCGCACACACAATTCACTACCCTCGGTATGCCGCGCTCAAATGGTATACGCCATCCTGTTCCTCTTAATGCCTCATTATAGTGCCTCCATGTGCGTTCCGCTCGCCCGCACTCGTACTTTCATCCCCCACCGAGCCACACGTCATTAATTCGTCTCTCTTCCACTCGTCGTTGCGGATAGAACTGATTGCGAGGTTTCTTCACCTCTAGGCCTGACCTGAATTTCTTTCCACACGGCTTTTCACACCGTTCGAAAAGAGAGAGAGAAAAAAAAAAGAAAACAAAAACTTATCCTTTGTTGATCTTTGACCTCGGACTAAAAATGTGGGTCGGATGCCGAACTGTTAATTCGCCTTACCTCGTGCTCTCTTTCTTCGATTTTTGCTTCGATCACTCCTCTCAGGCGCAAGAATCTCGCAAAAAAATTTAGCTTGCATGCAACTTTCCGGGTTCACCTCGAAAAAGCTTCTCCTTTCTTTCCGCATGCATCCGAGCACAACCGAGCCGAGAACGCATGAATCACGCGGCGGCGTGTGGCGAGGCGAGAGGTTAGGTTCGTTATTTCCGTTAAGGAGACCGATGCAGGGCTCGCGAGTCGTAGGGCAAGGGAAAGACCGTATCTCATTGACCGTTGGTCAAGCGCCGCAAGGGATCAATAAATACGACGTTCACCGGGAACAACCGTGTACGATTCACGAACGATTCACCTCTCTCTCTCTCTCTCTCTCTTTGTCTTTAGCAACTCTCGACTTCGCCTCGACCAAGAGTCCCAAAGTTTTCCCTCGTCTTTCCCCTGGGACGGAGAAATCCGTTCACGTTATTGGGAAATTTATTGGCCAATGGCGTGAAATTGCGAACGAATGGTGGGAGGGAGGAAGAGGCGATGATGCATCCGAGAGAGCGGCAAACACACGATGAAAAATTAATGCCGCGGGATAACGGAAATGACGAGAACCGGTCGGAAGATATAGCGCCGATCACACACTCGCCGGCTGTGTCAGTTGACGCAATCAATTATGCTCTCTAACCGTCTCTCGCAACTACGGCGTTACTACTGCGGTCGGAAGTAACAGTTTATTACTACTGCAATACAGTGTGATACCACACGTAGGTACGCGCGAGACCGGCCGATGCTACGGGACGCGTGACAGTGACACGGGACGATGACTGGTCGGGCGTCGATGTCTCCGTCACTCATATCACTGAACGCGTTCCATGTGCCACGTGTACCACCGATGGTACACGTTAAACTTTCCATTCAGGCCGCGCTGAAAACATATCATTTGCAACAAGTTTAAGACTGTGGAATATATATTTCCACGAAAAGAACGAGGCATTGTAAAAAATGCAGTATAGAACAAAGAACACAAGTTTGTTTAATTGTTATATATGATTAATAATAATTATATATAATGATTCACTTTGTCGAAGCAATCACTGGAAAACGTCACTGCTCTTATAGTTTTTTGTCTAATAAAGAAACTTGTTTTTCCAACAAAGACAAAAGATAACGCTCATAAATCGCTACGTTTGCAGGCGATATTTTACAATTGAATAATCGCCGCGGGGTGTTTTCTATCCAATCGGCGATGGCACGCTTTCGAGCGCAAGGGACGACTCGTCACGCACTCGTTTCATTCTCGTTCTTCATTTTCATATCGCCGGGCTCCCGTGCTCGCGATAACGAGCCCTCTTTTCATTCTCGAGCGCGCGTTTTCGCCCGGTGAATTCATAAGCATACGCTGGCACACCAGCAACGTTCCTCGAAAGAAATAATTGTTGACCGGGGCTGAAATTCGTGTCAGCTACCCGTGATATGTCACGAACTCTAACGCCAGACAGAAACTTCTTGCACGTATCTGGCCTACATGCGTCACGAAATCAGCTTTTCGATGTGGGAGCGAGGGAGTGATACTTAAAAAGCGAGTAAAATATGTAATTACGAGAGGAAAGTATTTCACAAAGAACAGCGTGACACGTGACAGAGAGACGGAAACAATTTCGATAGTAGCATAATCTTCGTGAACCAAATTCTACTCTGGCGGTAGTAGCTTTTATCGTTTATTTTTTTTTTTTTTTTTTGGACCGACCGAAATACACTGCATGCATGCCTGCCAATTAATTACACGTGACGTCTCGACAGAAGGGGGGAGGGATGAGGAAAACGGGGGGGGGGAGAAATACACTCGCGACGATAAACTGAGCTGCCTCGAGCTCGTAAATTTTTTCGATATCCACTCCTCTCTCTCTCTCTCCTCGGTGGTTGTTTGTCGTTGTTGGCCAGTGGTGCATGACTGACGGCAGTCCACTTTAATTGACATTATTACGTCGATTCTGCGAGCGATTATACTCTGACTTGCCGAATAATTACACGACCGTTCGATCTGATTCCAAACACCGGGTGAAACTCGAGTACCGAGGTCCGTCACTGAGATTTCTATGTTTCGTCTCTTCCTTCGTGATCTTTTAGTAATATCCTTAGTGATATTTAGTGATATTCTTATTAGTTATCTTTGGAAACCAAGACGTTTGTCTTGCAGCATAAAATTTCTAGTGAAAGAAATGTTACTTGATGACACAGTAGTAGTGTTTTCTTAACCTCTTGCGCTGGTAACTGATTCGCGGACCATAACGAGTGACCAAACGGTATACAATAATTCGCCGCTTTCTTTTTGAACTCGTCGATATGACATCATTGGATAGAAATTATTACTAAAAAGTAATGAATAAATTTATTATTTGTTTTGCTTGGGTTACATTTAAATATACTTAAAAAATATATTGTAACTTTGGGACAAAAAATTCTCGACGTCAGCGTCAACGTTGTCGAGTTAAAAAATATGTAACGTTTAACTCTTTAACCTCTTGCGCTGGTTCGCGGACCATAACGAGTGACCAAACGGTATACAATAATTCGCCGCTTTCTTTTTGAATTCGTCGGTATATCACTAGAAATATTACTGAGAACTGATAAATTTATTATTTGTTTTGGGTTATTTAAATATATTTAAAACTGAGAAAATATTGGAATTTTATGACGAAAAATCGTCGACGTGCGTGGCACGTCATTCAAGCGCAAGAGGTTAAGTTTTCGGTTCATAGTTTTGAGACCGAATGAAAGAGTGGGGATGAGCGTCAACTATGCAGCGAATTCCAGTATTGTTTACTACGTTATTCGATCGCAAAGAGACTTGACATTTTAACATTTTGTTTAAACTGAATTTAACCTACTTTGAATTCAATACGTGTACACTTTTAAACTTAAAACGTTTCAAATTGAACGCGCACATTTTACTTTTAAATTTAAATAAAGCAACGATTATCGAGCGATTGTAATTAATCTAAATTTTTCGAGATTATCAATGACGTCTTGTTACATTTCCATCGATATTAAATAAACAATAGTATGATCCTTTAATCGTATTAATACATATAAATGGAACATGTATATAAGCGTGGAGTGGGGATAGTTCTAATTCCAAGAATTGGTGGGGGCCCAAGTGTATTCTTGTTTCCAGTAATCTGCGTGGAAAAAGAAAAAAAAACGCCAGGAAACTCGATATACCTCTTGAGATTGATCTTCGTAGATCGTCGAAAGGAATGCTAATGCAACCAACGGCGTGAGATTGTTCCAGTAGCCCTCCCCTCGCGAATAATCGACACACGCGATTTGGGGGTACCAAGGGGGTACCTGCGAGCGCGAGTTGAAAGCGAGTGCGAGAGTGTTGATCCGTTACCTACTTTCTTTCTCGCTTTCTCGTCCCACTGTCACGAAACACGCGGTCTCGTGTTTCTGCTCGCATTGTAATCCGTAGCGCGGATCATTTATTGCCGGTTGTCGCGCTGAATATGCATGAGGCTTGCATTCGAAACGAATGAATTTCGGTAAGGGTCGAACCGGGAGGTGAGGAGCGGTGGTCCCCGAGGAAATCGGCCGCGAATCCGCCAGGAGGGTGGCACCTCCATCGGTGCGTATTAACGCCGGTGCGCTCTGCACGTACCGTTTATCGCTCCAGATGACGTGTACACCTCGATCGACGATATGTAAATCACTGCGGCATCCCTCTCTGCCGGTATGGCATTCGTTGCCTTTTAACCGGACCTCGCCTGCACGCTTGTCGCAGAACGTTCGCAGGACAACTACCCTGTGTGTTACCCCCCCCCCTCTCTCTCACTCTCTCTACTCTCTCTCTCTACTCTACTCTCTCTCTCTCTGTTCGTGTGGCACGCTCGCTCGTCACGCACTCGTGTAATATATGTCAATTACGATTTCAACTTCTTGCATGCATAAGTAGCTCCGACAGTCTCTCACCCTCCTCCTCATTCGCCGATTTGCTTCCAGTGAAATGCAGAAACGACGTAAAAGTAACGGAATTCTATGTTTCGACGTTTCACGAATCAAGCGGAAGAGCTGCTACTATTTCTATTTTCTCGTCTGGCCTTTGAAACATCGAGCGTGTAACGTAGGCCGAAAGTTTCTTAACGCCTATATTTTTTTTTTTTTTTTTTTCAACAAGACATCAAAAGATGAGAGAAAATTTCATTAGTTTTAAATCGAATCTAAGCTTCGAGCTATCGAGATCATTCGGCATCGAATTAAACTCAAGTTCGAAACGATGATTTAAAGGTTAGGTTCGTTCGAACGACATTCATTTGAAAATTGGCTAAAAATTCTATCGGTAAGCGAGAAAACTGTACTTTACTTTTGTAGGATTTATTTCATTTCAGTAGGTAGTGATTTTTTTTCCTTTGGCCGAAAATTATTTCTCGCAGTAATGAAATTGTGGATTCATTTTAGTAGGAAGTGATTCTCAACCCAACCTGAAACCTAACCTAAATCTAAGCCAAACCTAACCTAAGGTAATACAACAGAGATTAACATAACTGACTGAAACGTTTTCGTTCAGGCACATGTGACGCGCCTCTTCTACCTACATGTGGGCAATTTTTTTATTAACGTCTTGCACGAGCGTGCACAGAGCTAATATTAGGCGACGATCGTCGCGAGAAATCAGGCTTGTGTTATACGCCACGTGAGATCGCGGATAAGGGGGTGGAAAAAGAAAGGGAAGAAAAAAAAAAAGAAAAAAAA